TCCGGTTGGAATATGCTGTTGCACACCCCAAAACAACATCAAGAACACAACAACTGGCCTCAAGGTATTAGTGTATGTGACACAAATAGCCATATTGCGAATCACCTAAAAGCACCCCAACAACAAGACCGGCATCAATACCTTGGAAGGTCTCATAACAATTGGATTGTAGTTGAATGTACAAAAACAACTTAATACCCCCTGTCCTCCTTTTTTTAAGCATCTTTCACCACTCACTCCAGCCCCCCCCCCAAAAAAAAAACACTTCCTGAATAATCAGCTTAGGTGATAAGACTGCTCCGCTTTAACGCTGAAGACTGTTGTAGATTCACACAGGACGCGCATTTCATTAGGTACACCTGCACATTCTAAAAGAATTATTGTAGAAAAGTGTCAAGTGAAGTCAGAGATTTGTTTCTGAAAACACCATGCATGTTTGACTGTCTAGTCTAGTCGTATTGATTGGAATTTCAGATACAGCTTTGCGATTCCTATCCTGAGGTGGCGCAGGTGTACCTCGTCTTGTCTCCAGAAAGCACCGCATTGCATTGAGAGAGCCCAGTGTTGAGGTTAACAGACAGAGAACAAGTGTACAGTTGGCAAATCCCCAAGTCTCAAACACAAGTTTAATCCCCCAGCCCAGAGGGGCACCTTGCATGACACGCACACAAACACACACCGAAAAACAGCTGGCCAATCATGAGACACGCACCCTGTGGTGTGGGAACAAATCATTTTGACAGGAGTAGAAAACATACACATCCACTTTGCGTTATTTATGTGTCACTTGTGTTCACACACACGCACGCACGCACGCACGCACGCACGCACGCACGCACACACACACACACACACACACACACACACACACACACACACACACACTCTTCAAGCGGTGTGTTACTACTAACAATGATATCACTTGAGTCTGTTTAAATCTCCTTCAACCTCCCACTGGGCGAGGAGTGGTGGGAGAGAAGAGATGAAAATGAGAGCAAAGGCGATGAAAGGGAAGCATGTTGGTGCCCGCTGGGTGACGAGTGTGTCAGGGAGAAGAGGGGAGAGGTTTCCAGAAGGGCGGACAAGGAATGCGTCGATGGTCAAGTATGGCGAGGTCAGAGTTAATATCAAATATCACAGACAGTTGAATTAAATTAAGATGACAAAATTAAATGGAATTTTGGTACCTTAAGGGCCCACAGTGCTACAAGTAGCCTAACACAGACAATAAATAAAAATAGAAAGACAAGACGGATGCTGTTCATTGAGACACTGAGGTATCTCAGCGACTGTCACCTCATCAGTGCGGCGCTAATATTAATCATTCTCTGGAGAGGATCAAGAATTTATGACTGAGTACGATATTATATTCAGTTTGTTGCCTACAGTGTTATAGTACAGAAAAATAGGCACTGTTTAGCACTAGCATTAAGCTAGCAGACTGCAATGTGGTTGTTTTAATATAATGTAAATCTTTTAATATCGTGTAAATCTATTTCCTGTGTTTAGTTTGACACTAAACTTCGTCGAGAAATCAAGTCACAATTTTGCTGATGCTCCCATAAAAGATGGAGGATGCAAGTAATCATGGTACTCGTTTCCAAAAGTTGATATGACTGGATTTAGCGGCCATTCAGAACTTTCGAGAGTAGAAAACTCTCTCAAGTTTTTCCTTGACAAACATCTCCACATTGCTCGTGTCATTCGTGTACAGATCAGAGAATCGAGCCACTCATCACAGCAGTCGAAAAAAGGCTTTGCAACAAAAGGTGCCGTGACATGCCTGATTTAACAGGGCACACACAAAGACCCCTCTATGGCTCCCGCTCACATCCACGTCTTCTTATCCCTTCCCTCTTCAAATAAGCCCCCCTCACAGAAATAATGTCACTAGATTTTGTGGACTGTGGCTTTCTTTTTCTTTTCGCCTTGGCCCTTGTTCTCCCACAACGGGATTAGCAAGAGGGATTCTTTCATTCCTTTCAAGTGGGCACACCGATCCATTTACGACAGACTAGGATGAATACTGAAAAGAGTGTTGAGGCGGGCTGGACAAACCAGTGCTAAGATGAGTGACGAGGAGTGGAAAAGATGACATGAAAAGATGACATGAAAATAAAAAATCATTGATTTGTCCTTCTAGCAGAAATACAAGTGGACTATTATTTGTTTTTTGGTCAATTCCTTGTATGCCTAAACTAAAGCACTATAAAGTCAAACATGGATACAACACAAATGAGTAAAGTTACGTTGCTCTCCTCATTCACGCTCTGCATTTCGATTTTACATTGCTCATTAAAACTGTCTATTTATTATCCGCAGCAGACACACAGTGCCATCTATTTTGAGATAGCTCATCGTCGACAGTATAGCTTTGCTTTTTTTTTTTTTTAGCATTGTGGATTGAGCGAGATTTAGCCCAAAGCAATTAGATGTAACCCATAAGGCCTGTCAACAGCTCCAAGCATTGACAATCAAATCAACGAGCAGATTTTTCTAGCGCCTTTCTCCACTCACAGCTCCTTTTCTCCTCCCCCATTCCATTTTGGCTCTTTTGCTGAAACGACAAGAATGATCAACTGCCGATGATTGCCTGTTAAGACCACATGCACACGCAGTACGGTGAGCGACACAAAAGGGGGAAAAAAACGGCCATATTCATCATTCCCATTTCATATGAGGATTGGTGCGGAGTGACAGCCTCATTTCCATAACAAAAGGGCCGAGGCTCCGGGTGAAACGTTGTCAAAAGTACCTTGACTCACAAGAGCGCGCCAGAGCAAAGTGACGGAGCAGAGCAGTCAGATGGACGAGAAGTGGAACGCAAGATTTGAGGAGCTACAGATCGTACATATGTAGGTGTACCATGACTTTCGAATATGACTCAAGTAAAAATTAAAAGTAGGCCATGATCAATAGTCGGGGTCATGTGTCATAAATTGGTTGGAATTCAAACACATGTGACAAAGAGATAAAAATATAGTTGTTGGAGAGATCCAGCTTGAAGCTGCTGCCACATCTGAACAGCGCCAGGCAAAGTTAAAGGAACACCTTGACATTTTTAATGTTGGTTTCTTTTCTGCTCAGCCTAATCTTGCTCAGGCAGAAGCTTTGCCTCCCACAAATTCCAAAAGCGCAGCCAGGAAGCCAATTCATCTTGTGGGAGCAGATTTCACGGTCGAGGCGGAGGCTGTTTGTCAGTCTTTTTAATTCTCTGAAAATTCTCTTTCCATCGTCGTCAATTAGACGTTTTTATTTTTTTCTTATATCTGCAAGTGGTAAATCCTTCCTGAAGTCGCTGGCAAAGTGGGCCATCTCCGATGCTGCTTCCTGGATGACAATTGAGACAATTGTGAAGCAAATCAGATGACACCATTCAACTCCGTAGCGACTGCTGTACAACACAGTTAATGCCATAGTGTCCATCCAATGGTTTATTACTTGTTAAAAGATGTCACAAGTAGCCATTAGCCATGAAGTTGTTGACGTCCAGTCGTGAAGGAATCATTGGCCATGACCTAGGGCACAAAGAGAACATCTCTCGCGTTCACGTGCATGGCACATTGAAGGAACAATGACTTATTAATCAGGCTGCAGTCACCAGATCAACTGCTTCTGCTTTCTGTTGCTTTTTGACTCTTTTCTCTCTCATGACAAGACCCAAATGACATTAAAAAAAGCCATGTGGACACAACTGTAAGATTTGGCCCAAAACTCTGAGCTCCCCTGAGTCCTTACCTCAAGCCCGTCAAACACCTTTGCAATGCTCTGGCAGGCCTTTATTTGAGATCAGATACAATGTACCTCTCACATTTCCAGGCACACAAAGCAACACAGCCATTATTCCATTAAGATGAAACGCTGTTAAAACCCTCCCATCCATTTGTGTGCATGTTTGATTCTTCTGCAATGCGGCCTCTAAGTGAGCACTGCACATCCAATCTCCAAACTAAAATGCCTTCCGCTGAAAATGTCTTTCGACCGGATTATCGCAAGCCTCTAAAATAGTAAGTCCAAACATGTTCCCATAATACTCATCACAAAACTGTAAACCTTCATCAACAACTGGCTTGAGATGTCTCAGAGATAAGAGAATGAGTCGCAGTGAAATCAACATGGATCTTTTTTGTCTTTTTTTTTTTTTTTTTAACCAGAATATGATTCCCCTTTCCAAAATACGATCTTGTTGTAGTAGTATTGTAAAAGTCAATGCTGGAACTGGAAAAAAGTACTGGTACTTTTCACATGGGGATTTTTTAAAGTCATGCTTTTAGTTCCCATTTTGTGGAATTAAACCAAAACAAAGCAACTGGGGTGCGAAATGAGAAGCAAAAGTACATGCAAAACTTTCTCTCAAATCCCCGAAATTACATTTAAAAATGTATTCCGGATTAGTGCCCTGCTGGAAAGCCCCCGTTGACCTAAAAGATTGTTTATGTGCTTTACAACTAAATGACGAGGCACGTGAGTGTGCTCTTGTGTGTCTGCCTGGATCTAAAATCATCCCTTCACAAGGACCACAAGTGAAATCCAAGTCCTTGGAGTAAAATTCCATTCCATGAGATACACTTGAATTAACAATTAAATAAAACCTTTGTTCAAATGTATGATAAATGCAAATTATCATGGGTGTCAAGCATGTGAAAAGGATGAATCTGAAAGTGTGACAATACTGTTATGACTCTACAGGTACACTATGGAACACTGTTGGTTTTAAATTCACTCTAAAATAAAAGAAAATAGCTTTAGCCGGTAGATTAAATGTGAGGTACATAAAGGCTTCTCAAAAATGTCTTCCCCTCGCAAAAAAAGATGCAATAAAATAAAAAACCTCGCAGTGATGGCGAGCGAAGCCATTTTTTTTTCTTCTATGTTACCTTCGGGGCTCGGCACAGTTCCATGCTGTGTTAAAGGTACCAAGCTTCCTATATTTCATGCAATGCCATCAAATATATCGACATATTCTTTCTTATTCATCTAAAATTATTCTGCGTTTACTGTGGTTTGGAAGGTTCGAGAGTCAGTTTACGTTTTGAGGAAACCCCAATTTATTGTTGTGTATTTTAATGATGCTGTGATTGTACTCGTCCTGCCCACCTGGCCCCTCTACATTTTGGCACCCCTAGTGGAGAGTGAGGGAACAATCCAATCAAGATTGGACCTTTGTTGCTTGTGTTGGCTAAATCTACTAACCTGCTAAACTTGGTAACTAAACGTTTGCTATATAGTTCGTATAAAATTCAGTCGACGCAACGAGGTTTTGTGAAATGTAATACTTACGATTTTTAGAGAATACAGAAACATTTGAGAAGTCGTTTAGCCGAACGTTAGCATTCGCTCATGATGCTAATTGTGGGATAATCCGTCCGGCCGTCATGGAGCTCTTATCCTCATAAAAGAAAAAAAAAGTTGGTGGGTCGTGAAAAGGACGGATAAGACACGCTGTGTGTGGTTAGTACATACAGATAGATAGATAGTTTCTGCTGACAGACTGCAGAACAATATAATTAATTTGACAGTATTTCCTATTGTAACATCCGATGCTGTTGAATCACTTGGTTGAGATTTTGAGGTTTTAGAGTGTAGCAAGACGGTGGTGATAGTTAAATTCGTTTACATGTTGGGACTGCAATACGGTATGCCGTACATGTTAAATTAATCCACCCATCCATTTTCTAATCCGTTTATCCCCGCAAGGGTCGCGGGCGTGCTGGAGCCTAGCCCAGCCTGTCTTTGGGCAGTAGGCAGAGTACACCCTGAACTGGTCGCCAGGCAATCGCAGTGCACACAGAGACGAACAACCATCCGCACTCACACCCAGGGCCAATTTGGAGTGCCCAATCATGTTTTTCATGCGCGTTTTCGGAATGTGGGCGTAAACTGGAGTACTTGGAGAAAACCCACGCACTCATAGGAGAACATGCAAACTCCACAGAGGAAGGCCAGAGCTGGATTCTGTTTTGGTTCATGTAATTACAAGCCTATCAAAGCTCTTTTTGTGCCTGTGCGGGCTGTTTGTTTTATAAATACTCAAAAATATTTTTGTAATGACTGGTTTGCATTGCCTCCTCGTGGTCCAGTAACTCACCTCGGCCTTTTGTTTTTTAACAGATTATATGCACACACTGTTTAAAAACAGAAGTCAGTACAAACACATTTTTTGTTTTCATGTTTTCAGGCGACATGGATCACAAGAAGAGCTCTGGTTTCTCCAACACCACATTTCTGCGGCAACCAGCCCGGGTGTTGATCATTGAGGCAATGCCACCATGGTGGTCCAAGACCCGCTCTGTTCTCTGTGATGCTCTTGATAACTTCCTGACCCTGGTCTGTAGTCTGAAAGGACCTTGTAGGCTCCCTTTCCTCAGCGTGTTTGCCATCAGCAGTCAGCAGGAATGTCTGCTTCCTTTTGTGGTAATACTCATGACAATTCTCTCATCCAAAACCATTCTTACCTTGCCTTCTCTCATCCTTTTTTTTTCCGTCTTTTTCAGAGAGTTCGGGGTAACCTGCCCAGGTTGCTTTCCTGCGTGGAGGCGCTGCGGGCGATCCCGAGCGAAGGCGTCACCACAGAACTGGCCAGTGTAGGCGAGATGCTGCGCCAGACTGTGCTGGATGGCCAGAGGCAATTTAACCAATACAGGAAATTCAGTGGGGTCGACATCCAGACCAACATATCTGTCGAGGTGAGGCAAGGCTGAACAACAAACAGGATTGTTATGTAAGGATTGTTTAGTTTGAAAGGGGTGTTGAAAACCAGGCAGGTGCGAGCTTTGGTACGCTCGCCTCGAGGCTGCTTATGTACACTTCAGTGCAGGAAACGGCCTCGTCTCATCCGCCGCTGAGCCATCTGTCTGTGGGAATTGGTTTGATTGACATCAGAGAAGCCGCAGTAGAGTTGTTGTTGCCGGAAGATCCAATCAGCTTGTGGTCGAATGTCCCATTTAACTCCTGGATTTGCTCCCACTTGTTGCATAAGATGATCTCGCACTGTCATCTGAGGGGTTATAAGTGTAGTTTTTTTACCAGCTATACCGGAAGAATGCCATGAAGTTAGTGATTTTTCTTATGTTCTCTCATTAGGGATACGAATTACACAGGAGAGCACATCTATGTCCTCGCAGAGCTTCCTCAGCAACGATTGTGTTCCTTGTGTTATAATAATCGCTAGTGATCGTCTTGATGCCAAATAAAGTCAGTTTTTTTGGCTTGAAATCACACACGCGGCGTGTTACATTTTCTAACAGTGCTTTATTATTTCTCATGTCCCCAAAGTGCAACCTCGGTTTCAAAGAGTTTTTTTTTTTTTTTTTTTTTAAAGAGAAACCAGCTGTAAACATTCTGAAGAAAGCTCTCCGGAGACTCAAGCGGATGTTCTTTTTTCTTTTCTCTCTTTTTTTTTTATAGGTTACTGTGGTGACCAGCCGTCCAGGAAAAGGCATGGTTTGCCTTTTGAAAAATGTGCTCAAGGATGATGACCTGGATCCAATCAATGGTTTCCTGGTGGTGCAGCTTTCCAGTCAGGTAGAGTGGGGTCAAGACGGACTCCCGCCTCAAGAGCCCCCTCAGGCTTGTAGTGCAGGTAGGAAGGAGGAAGCTGACTACTTACTATCTCTTTCCTGAGCAAACTTGACTCCCCCTCACGTTCCACATACTTTCCCACCCTGCTCCATCCACGCGGTCGGGAAGGACTGACCCATTTTCACTCTTATTTGTGTTTGTCTCACACACCCGTAGAACCTGTGCCAATTTCTCTCAACAGCCACTGAAGTCGTTGCGGGAAACCGACGTGCTGCTGTTCCGCAACACATGAACAATGCAACGGCGACTCAAGCCTTAATTAGGGTAAAAAAAGGATCAAATGCGTTTGTTTGGGGCCTCGGTGCGCATTCCCTGCTATTGGACTCTTGGGAGAAGATACAGAAATGGGTCATGAGAAAAAGGAGACGCAACACAAACAAGCGGAGGAGTCGAGTGAGCAAGACGGGAAGCCTATATAACTCATCAGCAATGGGATGTTAACGCCGTGTAATTGTGCCTGTTTTTGGTCCAAAAACAATATAGCAGGCACTAAAAATGACCGCTTTGTTTACCAGGTGAGGTTATCAAGTCGGTCTCAATTCCAGCTAATCCTCCCGCGTTCGCTCTGTCTGAGCCGTGAAAGCTTCAAGGTAGCTGCTATTTGAGGAAGCGTCGCGTCCGTTGATCTCTTCCAATTTACATTTGCGATGCACAGATGTCATCCGCCGCTCAAACTGAATGCGAGTCGCAAATGACGTTTTAGCGGCTTTCTTTGCACCTTTCCTCTTGATCAGTACGTCTGTGTGTGTGTGTGTGTGTGTGTGTGTGTGTGTGTGTGTGTGTGTGTGTGTGTGTGTGTGTGTGTGTGTGTGTGTGTGTGTGTGTGTGTGTGGCCCCAACCAGGGCTAAAAACAATCTACAGTATGTCCGCTCATGTGCAGCCAGATGCATGGCAAGAATCCTTTTCGGGAATGACCTGCTTGCCTCATTAAAAGGAAGCTGCTGGAGGGGAACGATATGCAAACCAAGCAGGGGGAAAATGAAAGTCGACACAAACGCGCACGCGCAGGCACGTCGCTTGAAAAGCACTTAAAAATCCTCTAATGCGTCAACAAATAAGCTCAGCCACTGACTATTGTCACATTAACATCGCGTGGCATTCCAACTATTAACAACAACAGCAACTGTCACCACATGCTGAGGATGTGATGATGGCATAAAACTGAATTGAACAGAATACGGTGCACCTTGCGTCCTGGTTTGCAGCAAAATATATCCGACACGAGCATATACTGTATGAAATGACAGGAGAAGGACGGCACGCAAGTAGAGGCTAAAGTATTATAACGGTACTCACATTCATATATTCTTTATCTTCAGCGAAAAATAACCAATATTAGTGCTGTACTGATGAGATGAGAGGAGTTGCGACGTCTCAATGTACAGTATATTCGTCTTCTACTGTCACCAGGTGGTCAAAGCGGGCACACCAGAAAGAGCATCATAATGGTCTTTTTTTTTGGGGGGGGGGGGGGATCCCATGAAGCTTCACTTC